CTTTTTTAGTGGTTACAGTGTTGGATATTAATGCTTTACAATGCATAACATATGATCATCATGTATATTCATTCTTTCCCATTTTGCCCAATTTTAGGTTTTATGAGCAAAAACATCAATCTATACATTTATATACTCGTGGGATTAAATGATGCATTACATATAGGAACACATAATATCCATGAAGGTAAACCAAGATTATTAAGTTGGGAGAAGAGATTAGGTGAATTTTCAAAATTGAGAAAAAATGGAATGTTTACATGAAATTTCTAATTTTGATTCAAGTTTTAATTGTTGATTCATATTGCTCCACGCTAAGGATATATTCCGGTATGGGAAGACACAAGATATCATTGTCCGACCACAGATGTGTTAGTGTAAAACCTGGGAAATCAGAACTAAAGTTTAGTAACGTTTACTATAAGTATTCTTTACTACACTGTAAAACTTTTTCCGTAAAATTTACGGACAAATGGCTGGCAGCTAGGTTGCCAACCAATGTACGTAAAAATTACGACACACCGTAAATATATTTTTACGAACATGTCGTAAAAATTACGTCCAAAGATTGGCAACCTAGCTGCCAGCCATTTGTTCGTAAATTTTACGGAAAATGTTTTACAGCTGTAAAAAACTTATGGTATGATAAGCATCAAAAAGACATTTACTTAAGATTTAAAACAGAATTTAATTATTCAAAACAATATAAGATACAATTAATTCCTCAAAAATGCTTTTACATGATAGTTTAAGATATAATAAAAGACCTGAAAATACTGGAAATTGGAGATTACTGTCAGTAAGTAAAGCTAACAACTGCCTTAAAAAAAAAAAAACCTGTCAACCACAAATTCATATTTTTAACACATTTGATCAAGAGCAGATTTGATATTACAATATGGAGAATGTTTAGAGATCTAACATATTCTTTGGCTGTCAAGCAGTTTGGTGGTATATTTCAACAAAAACAAAGCTCCTTTCATAATTCTTCATTAATAATAATGAACATTTGTACATGGAATAGTGACGACTTTTAAAAAAAAAAAAGAGAATTTGTTGCCCTATTAACAAGGGAAATAACTCTCCAAAATATTTATCAAGTTCTCACAAGACAAGCAAACAAAAATTCCCAGCAATTAAAAAATGTATGTGATCAAATAATGGGTAGCAACAAAATATAAATTTAACAATAATGAAATTATCCATTCAAATTCTTGTACATGTAACATTTACATTATAATATTTAAATGAATTTTTTTAATAGTAGAACAACAACATTCTGAATCTATTCTACAAATATATAATCAGTGTGTTACAATAGAATTATCCTCAAATCTTTTTCTAAAATCTTAACCAAGGTGTTGTAATATTTACCTCAAATCTATTATTTAAAACATCAACAACATGAAAGTAAATTATAACAGTAAAACATGATCTAATGAAATAATGAAATCATTCAAATTTTTGGAATTAATGAATTTGCATTCTAAATGTTTAAATGAACAATTTAAAATCTAACAATTATTGAACCCCAAAAGTATCATGACTTTAAAACAAGAACAGCATCAATGCAGAATTCCTATTATTCCACCTTAAATGTACAGCTTGTTTCAATGATTAGCTTAATCTCTGTTTGAAAATGTATATCATTAAATTTTCCACAATAACTCTGCCTAAGCATGTACATTCCTTAGTGAGAATGGCATAAATTGATTCAGTCTCGTAGATAAAAATTTAGATGGAACTCGACTACTGACAAAGTTAATGAACCAGTCCCAAAATGAAATGTGTAGATGAGAGTTACACAATTTTAATGTTTATGCAACACGGCCGCATATTTAGAGACAAAATGAACTGAGGATAATTTTACAAATGTACCAAATTGTTGATGGACAAATTAAATGACCAAAAGATTTTTCCATTAAAGTAAACGGACATCTTATCAAAAGTACAATAAGAAGATCAAGTTTAATTAAGAAGATTCATTAAAAAGATTTCTTGCAGTGCGTTTAAAGTCTCATTTACAAAGTATCACTCATAAAAGGGTTGTGGCTCGGTCCCTTATCACCTATTTTATACACACTATGTGCTGGTGTATAAAAACTAACCATAAACTCAATAGGCCTATCCCTAAAGTTTGCATGCATGAACATTATTGCATCATAGGTTGCAACGATACATATCACAGTATTTCTTCTTGGACGTGTTTCCAGCTCCCTAGCCACTGCTTTTCCATCTGACGTTTTTGATTCAAAATGTTCCTATATCCGTGATTTGTGGTTCGCCGGAGGGGAATGTACTTTCAGCGGGACACATGTTTCATTGCCGAAAGCCATCTTTTCTCCTTCTTGTCACATGAACTACAGGGGAGTATTCTGCATCGGATGAAAATGGACAGTTAAAATATCTGTACCATGTTAACCAAACCGTAGTCCAGAATTTAAAGCACCTTGAACCAAAATGTGGCATCTATACCGTCGTATACCTTCTCACAGTACCGGTATATTGTTGCTATTGTTGTAACTGTACTTCATCCATTTAAAGTTTGACAGTTTAGTGATTAGTTATACCACTTTTTGGCACACTCGAGTCTTCCTCTTTTTCATGATTTCTGTGCGTTATCTGGGTTAATTTCAAAAATGCACCTGCAAAACAAATATTCTCAATCAGGTTGTTTCTTATGACATCCATTTCAAAAGAACACATTTTAATTAAGGAAAAGGGAGCTAAATGTGCGAGAAAATGAAGTTTCATGTCCACAAACAGGAGACTAGAGAGAGAGAGAGAGAAATGGGGTTTAACGTCCACTCGACACAAACTAGGTCATTTCAGGACTAACATATGGTTTTAATTTTATTTCAATAATTCGCTTGCGCGTAGGGGTCTTTAGCAGTGGGAGGAAACCGGAGGACCCGGAGAAAAACCCACGAGGTTGGACAGGCGACCCTACACATTTTAATTAAGGAAAAGGGAGCTAAATGTGCGAGAAAATGAAGTTTCATGTCCACAAACAGGAGACTAAAGAGAGAGAGAGAGAAATGGGGTTTAACGTCCACTCGACACAAACTAGGTCATTTCAGGACTAACATATGGTTTTAATTTTATTTCAATAATTCGCTTGCGCGTAGGGGTCTTTAGCAGTGGGAGGAAACCGGAGGACCCGGAGAAAAACCCACGAGGTTGGACAGGCGACCCTACTCCTTGCCACGTACAACCGGGGATTCGAAACCACGCCAGTTGACTCAATGACAGACTTTATGGTACAGCGCGCACGTGCTAACCATTCAGCCATCCAACCCCCCCAGGAGACTAAACATATCACAAATACTATCAGTGTATACTGGAATAACCAGACTGCCATTCAATTTGGACATATTTCGCCGAGCATAACTGATTACAAATTACACTAAAAACAGAAACGACTGAATGTAAATCAGTTTATAGACATTCATAATAGATTATTATCGTTGCGACCCATTGTGTTCATTTCTCGGGGCCAAAGAATACAGATTTAGCTCCTTTAAGTTAGGTTGAACTTTTCTGATCATGATTCATATTGGTAGTAGCTGTAACTAACGTAACACCCATTGCTTTCCGGGTTAAAACCCATGCTTTCTTCTATCGTTACCGCATCTTGGGTTTCTGATCAGATTTTTGGACTAACCAGTGGCGACTCTGCACCTATGACAGGTAAATCTAAAAGCAGACTAAAATAGGATTCACCTGTTGCTAATAAGACCTACCCCAAGGTTCAAGCTGGGAGAGAGAAATGGGATTTAACATCCACACACAACACGAACTAGGTCATTTTTGGACTAATAAACATAGAATTTTATTTCAATAATCGCTTTAACCGTAGGTCTTTTATAAACAGTGGGAGGAAAACGAACGACCCAGAAAAAATGAACACGGTTAGTCAGGCAATCTTACTCCTTTCAACGCCACTTGACTCAAAGACATAGGCTTCATTCTGACCTAACTAAGGCCCATGTTAGACCATGGATCTTATATAAGCTCCATGGTTAGACCATTCGTCCAACCACCCCTCAAATTTCAAGGTCCAAGCAGAGGGCAGGAAGTGTTGGTTTTCATTAACAATGCGCTCAACTCCCAAAATTATTATCTTCAGTAAGTTCAATCTTATAATTTTTCTTTACCGGTAGGGCCTACCTTTGAAAAAATTTTACTAACACAGAGAAAGGCTGGGTAGCCCACTCTATAGATGACAGGAATGGCACTCAAGGATGCAATAAGCTGTGCCTAAAAAAATTAGTAAAATAAAAAATTAAAGATCATTATCCAGACAATGCATTGACAATTCAATAAATTCTTAATAATGGTTTTCAGTGGTAGGCCTAGCCTACAGACCTAGCTGAGACTATGAACTTAATGAAGCCCAGAAATGTTAGCCCTTCATAGTTCATATATTTTTTTTCTATATCAATGTTATTATTATGTCATCCGAGTAGCCTCAACTGGAACTGAAGCCTCCAAAAACAATGCGAAAAAATATTAGGCCTAGCACTAACACCAGAGTGTATGTTTACTCTGTGCTAACACTAACACTGTGACAGTGTATGTGAGTATCATGTATGTCCATTTGTCTAGAAGTAGAAGAGTCTATTCCTACTATTTCATAAATCAGTTACCGTACATTTTTGCGAATGCTAAGAATCAATCTATGTCAAACAAAGATGTGTCCCTACTGTATACTTACCTAAAACTGCAATGTTTGGTATTGACTGTAATGTTCAACTATTGTGCTCGATGTTGAGGGATTCCTCTTTGCCGCTAACTAACGGTCTTCGCAGTAATGGCGCCCAGGAAGACCGATGACGTCACTTTAATTTAAACACCCGTATGTCATATTTACGGACGAAATTCTGTATTTCTTAAATATTAACAGACTCGTGTCTGTTATCAGGATAACAGACCTGCGCTGTAGGCGTTTTACAGAAACAAGTCTGTAAAAATTACAGAAAAGGCTTACAGTGTAGTAACGTCCTCATTAGCCCGATTAATGCCGAAAAGTAAACATTATTTAATTTAATTCCATATCACGCCCAAGCTCGACATGCGAACACCAAAGCTCGAAAGCTCCACAATGCCGAGATGTTTACAAGGTGATGCAAATGTGGAGCATAAAAATATCTGGATGGATTCCAAAATCATGACGGATGGTGATGAATAACATTTAATTAATTTTAGTACATGGACATACCACAGACATGTCAAAAGAACACGGAAAGGACAGAAAGTACATGAACATGGCCGATACAATCCAAAATGTGAAATCGGGGTCATGTTGTTTTAGCCATGTCAACCCATGACAAAATTCCTTATTTCAGTGATGCGTACGCACCATATTCGTCAGATAGAGTTGGTGATAACGATTCGTAATTGTTTTCATTAATAACAGTATTTACATAATATACAGATTGTGTGTTACTAGCTGTTGGCGACGATTCGTTTCTATTTATTTCTGACAAACGACTAGTATTGCAGACTTGACCGGACATTTTCTGTTTCAACTTTCTTCTCATCAATCTTATTATACACCTGTTTATTCAAAGAAAAAAAACGAAACTTCAACATAAAATATTAAATTCACCCCACAAAAAATTCTATTAATTTTGAATATCACTCAGCTAATTTTTGAAATCCAATAATTGACATCTTAGACCAAGATATGTTCACTAGCGTCCGCGAAACAGCTATGGATTATCATAGTTAAATTGAAAAGTATCTTTTACCAACCAACGAAGACATAAAAAATGCAAATGCCTCCTTAAAGGGAATTTGTAACCTAAAACAGAAGCCTAGACATCATTGTTATAGATATGTATCGAAATAAGTGAAAATTAATCAAGCATTGCAGCTAGAATAAGTATACCCTGTCGCCTACATGATTTAATCCAGATTCAGTAAAACTCTTATCATATCAGAGTTAAAATATTGACTGCTCGAAACTCTGAACATGCCAGGGCTAAAGCACTGGTTAATAGAAACTCTTACCACATCAGAATTAAAATAATGATTGACAGAAACACGTATCATGCTGGGATAGGTAGAAACTGTTTCGACATTGATAGCAACCCTTTCAGAATTCAAATATCGTTAAAGGAAACTCTTACATACTGATTGATAGACAGCATATCAGTGTAAAAATGTTGATTGATATTAAATCATCAGAGTTACAACAATGATTGGTAGAAAAGCTCATCAAACCAGAGTTAAAATACTGATTGATGGAAACTCTTATATCAGTGTTGATTAAACGAAATTCTTACCATATGAGAGTGAAAATGTTGATTAATAAACACACACCAAACAAAACCCATGGTACAACATATACAGCAGCTTCTATAAAAATAATAGTAACTTTTCAATATCAATTACATACATTAGCCCCCACCCCACCCAACTCCCCATTGTCCGTTAAAATGGTTTTGTTTTTGTAACAGACAGGTCGAACATGAATCAGAATAATCCTGTTTTGTGGGTATTTAAAACCCCAAAATAGTTTACTCTCCATTTAGATACAATGAAAAACCTTAGCTCCGTCACCCCGCTTATAATTACACGAACGTAGTAAATGTTAATAATTTAAACGCACAAAAACTATTATATTCTTTCTCGTTCAATGCTTTAGTTAAGATTTTCACATTTGTGTCGTGATCTTTAAAATCTAATTTACAATTGAGCAGTATATTGTCTGGCCAGTTCTGAAATACGTGTATGTTATACCTGGACAATCTTGTTCACCACATGGAATATCATCAGATGTTTCACCAGAGCAAATTCGGCTACCACTTGTAGGACTGGGAATGTTACATTTTCTAATTCGAGTCCTGGTACCCCCACCACATGAAACCGAGCAGGCACTATATGACCAGTCACTCCAGCTACCTTCAACTTCAAAAGCAATAATATTTTCAAAGATGTTATTCTCAACCTAAATCTTAAGGAGGTATTCCTCCGTGATAGATTAGGAATTTAATGTAGTGAAACTATACACCACAGTTGGCCACAGTTCAGTCAGTTAGAACTCAATTAATTCAGCTACACACAGTTTGAACATTTTAGCTCAATTAGAAGCAGAGTTATTGTGTACCAAAGGGTGTGACGGACACACAGATGGACGGACTCATTTTAATGGTGCACGCTTTCTTCGAATTACTGGGACAGTAAAAAAAGTCAAATCCATCATGTCCGTTAGGTGAAGACGTAAAGGAAGTATAAAAAATGTCTAAACTTGCCCCCACCAAGCCCATGCTGGGTAGATCGATGCCATTTGAACAGGTAACAAGCAGCATCTTTAAGAAATTTTGATATATTCTATTCGGTGGTTTATTATCAGTTACGAGACTTTAAGGTGCCCTAGAACCTATTCTGTGTGGCCGAGTGAATATGTTATCTATGCATAATTTCTGTTTTTGAAAACGGGATTGATCTGAGTAGTACTATGTTTTACTTACAATCTCTGTCTATTGCAATAATGATAATGTTTATTCACGCATGTTCAAAACTCTACATTTAACGTGTCTCTCTAAAATTAAAATACCCACTTTCTAATTTGGATAAGACTATGGCTAGAAAACAGTGGAAGAATGAGAATAGCTTATGTATACTGGCAATTGATTTCAAAGGCAAAGTACAGCAGCATTGAAACTTCTAGCCAGTTCGTTTTAGTTTGTTTGGATATCAATAAGTCAAAGCCTTATTTATCCCAGATTTTATTACCTTGATGGGGTAATGTTGTTACAATAAATTTGATTTAGCTCACCTAATCTGAGAATCCTGATAGCCAAAGAAAACGGTATATTACTTTTAGTATGACACGATTTATAGGGTATCTGTTTCTTTAAAATACATATCGGTTGGGAGGAGTAAATCTAAGTCATTCATTATTTCTTGCAAATGTGCAACTTTTCCAGTTCGTTCATTCCAAATGATAAATACTAGGAAACGTTTCAGTTGATTTTCTAAAGATATTCTGTAATCTACGCCATATTTAATTTGTACACTATTAATTGTTCCTCTACAAATTTCATTGATAAACTGCTGAATTGTGGTGCCGACTTGGTACCCATCGCTACACCAAAAATGTGTTTGTAATTTATTTTGCTACACGTAAAAGTAATTTTAGTCAGGGTGAAGTTTTGTCTAATCAATATTCTATGGCCGGAAAGCATACGTTGTGTGAAATGTTGCCATACATGTCACGCATACCCATGGCTACTAAAATGTGGCAAATAATTAGAGATGGAGGGAATGTGTATTAAAAAATTCTATGTCATCCCGAATAACAGATTTTACATTTAACACGTATAGCTTAAGAAAGATATCAATGAGATTCGAGAGTCTTTTATTTGGGCATTACGAACCGGCAATTATTGGTCTGAATGGGATATCGTCTGGTTTGAAAACACTGATGAATTTGGCTTAATATAATATATAGAAGTCGATTTTATGTCCTTCCTCCTTCACTTAATTTTCAGGTAAAACTCAACAAGTGGTTTAGAAGATACTGGAAATATAAAAGATATTTAAAGGACAATATTGGTGCCAGTCATTATCACATATGTGATAGAGCTTGTTAAACACATTCCAAATATAATTTTAACAGTTAACACAGAGATCATTGCTACAATAGCTGAGTAATACAGGTTCCCTGAATCAGAAGTGACGAACGCCAAAGGAAAACACGAGTCATCTCTATATATAAGTGACTGATGTGACGAGTGATAACGGATATACGGGCGAATTTCTGCTCACTAATAATTCACTCGAAGACCAAAAGTTGTTGTGTGAGACTGTGGGAGGATATCTGACAATTCATAAAAAGAATTGACTGCCACTAGATAAGTGAACACGAAAGAAAAACATAAAAAGTCCGTGCATTACCAGGTATAGAATGAATATAAACAAGGGAATGTACGGACTATTTCTATTTTCTCGTGTTCTCTTATCTAATGACATACAATTACTTTATTGAATTGCCAGGTATCCTCTTACAGTCCCATATAACAACTTTTGGTCTTCGAAGGAATTATTAGTGAGCAGAAATTCGGCCGTGTATCTGTTATAACTCGTCACATCAGTCAGTTATATAGAGAGATGACTCGTGTTTTCCTTTGGCGTTCGTCACTTCTGATTCGGGAAACCTGTATTACTCAGCTATCGTAGCAATGATCTCTGTGTTAAAATTATATTTGGAATGTGTTTAACCAGCTCTATCACATATGTGATAATGACTGGCACCAATATTGTCCTTTAAGGGACACATGGACGACGGTAAAAGATACTAACATGAACATTCTTGTTCTGTACAATCTACCTCTTCAGTGCGACTACCGATACAATTGGTTCCACCATTAGCTGGAGTAGGTGCGTTACATTCCCTAGAGCGTGTTCTAATTCCAGACCCACAGGAAACAGAGCAGCTGCTGTATGACCAGTCACTCCAACCACCATTCATCACTGTAATAATACATTGGTGCTTATTCTATCTAATTCAATATAATTATTTAAATACTATTTGACAATATTCTATCAATTTAAATTTAGTACATTGGTGGCTTTGGTGCTGATTCTATCTAATTCAATATAATTAATAAAAGATTCTACTCTCAAGTAAAAGTATATAGAAAAATGAGGTTTTTGGAAAGAAAAATACACACAGATGCCGATTTTATGTTCACACCCCGATAACTAAGGGCAAATCGAAACTTATATTGGTATACGGATCATTTTCAGAGCCGAAATAACTGATTAGACCATAATCCACGGTTTATTCAGACACGGTCCCTTTTACGCGGCTCTGCATTAAACATTTTCAACGAACCCCAGTTAATGGCGCCATCTGGTCGCAAATTGTATAAGCTTTCTGTGGCAAAATCAATTCCAGGTAAAAACGATCGGAGTCACATCGAACCAAGGCCCTTCTGAAATGGCCTCCCAGACAAATACGTCCATGATCGTACCCTTTATTTGACCTTAATTTGGCTGAAATGTGGAAGTCAGTTTGTTTTATTGGTAATTATGATTCGTATTAAACATCATTTTGAAGTTGTAATTAAACCAACTCGTTGTTCTGTTCGCCTTCTATGCGAAAAGACAAAAATGTGACTTAGATCGTTCTTCCCTGGACTCTTCATATATATTTTTTTTTCTTTCCCCCTGGCTGTTTTGAGATATGAAGTTAGTTCGTGATGCGGTATTTCGTATCTCATGTCGTGTATTTGTACCATATTTTGTATTCCCTGGTATCAAGGAGGCCAGGATGATACTACCAGCAACCATCGGAATAGTGAAACATACTAATATTAGCGGACAATGTTCGCCTGTAAAGTCTAACCTTGTTTACTACAGTCACAGGAATACTTTACAGCTTCTCCTGAAAGATAGAAGAACAAAAATCATTACTGGAATAGTCTCATACAAAATTTGTCGTTTATAACGGAAAAGAGAATAATCTCGACGCCCTTTCTGTGTAGCCCATTCAATCCATAATGCACTATAAACCATAAATATAACCCGAATATACAGATGAGTAATAAGTGGTAATACGTGTTCCTTAATGAGTTAGCATACAACCGTCACCATACGAATAACGATTAACGAATAAAGACAGATGGTATAAATTATTATAGGTCAATAGCATCGTTCACAGATTTTACAGCTGTGACAGAAATGGTTAAACACATCCCAAGTACAATTTTAACACATAGATGTTTGCTATTGTGGATGCAATACAACGATTTGTATTAGACAGCTACACAATAACTTTCAGTTCACTGATAATACCTTTGAAATAGACGAATTGTTATATTAGAGGATATCATTTCGAAACCTAATATTTATGTTTTAAAAAGAACTGAATGACGCGAGGTTAGCGGGGGCGAGAAAAAATGAAGAGGTTTGACTGAATAAATTGGTTGAGACGGTCTTGTAATACCTCTAAAATGGAGGTCATCGACATCTGGTTAGAATCCACGTTCTAGCGAAGGAAATAATTCCAGCATCAGGTTTAATAAATGTAACCTTTACCCCTGTGCTTAACAATTTGTGTATATCGTGCAAGAGCTTAAGCCTGTAATTACAGGTAATGTTGATTTTACACTGTAAATTGTGGTCTAAAGTTACAAAAGCAGACCAAATTTCCAAACTTATAGACGGTTAAGTGCAGTTGTCACCATTCAAATAATAGTGTCACATATTTAAATCGTTTGATCCCACTGCGGCGACGACAATATACGACTACATAATTGGCGTAATAGTAAACGTTACTTACTTCGAAAAAACCCTATCCATATAGCATCGTCATAGTCCGATGTCATATCAATAAACTCGATCCTGGCCGTTTTCAAACCATAGATAATTATATCATGGTGACTGATATAAACCCCATCATCTGTACAGTTGTATACGGGTTTATTATCTGCGGTAATTTTTACATGTGAACAGGATTCGCGATTCAAATTGATGTAATAGCTGTAAAATCTCAAATCTACCTCGCCGCCAGTTATATCACAGGAGCAGGATAAACCACGAGTTGGTGTAGATTTACCAGCGAAGTAGAGATAATGCCAACCTGTATCTGTAATATTTGTAATACTCATGATGTCGTCAGTATTGTGATCTGTAAAAATATAATCATATATAGTTTATACGCATAAGTTTAAACTCTTTGATTTGGGTTAAAAACCTAAAGCCAATATATTCCATATTACAACCGATCAATCGATCTTGTATTCAACTCTCGATTAAAACTTTTAAAATTCGAATTACCTATTGTACGTATAATGATGCAATTCTTCGGATAAACATTATCTTGCTAGGCGAGTAAAACACATAGATATATTAACAGTAGCCCCCCCCCCCCCATCCCCCACGCGCGCGCGCTTAGGTGTAGCGGGTGATAAGAATATACTTTTCGTATAGTATGTCCTGCGTGTCGTAAAAGGCGACTAAAAGGATCCTTGTAATGAGGAAACGTGTTTGCCGTGCGTTGCGACCCGTGTCGGAAGAGAGTGGAATCTTGGTAATTGACCTGCAGGGTCACGAATACCTAAGGCATGTTGCATGCCTCTACAGTAACATATTTGAAGATCCCGATCACTATCACCTGCAATGCACAAAGGGGAACCCTATGCAAACTACAATATGATTTTAAAAAACATTAACTCACGGTCTGGGTGTAAACATAAATATTTTAAATCCATAACTTTTTATTGATATGTCAAACTGATTTTAATTTCGATCAATTGGTATTTTATTTTCAATATTATGTTTAACTTTGCTCATCGATGTTAGCGTACGGATGATTGTAACCTACAATATACACTGTACATTTTCATACATATTATTATATATAATATATAACACATCGAATCATAATAAAGGGGTCTCGAGCTCTTTCCAATCGCAGGAGTGCTCGACTCGAAGCACTGATATCATACATAGTGAAGGTTCAATTTTATTTCAATAATTCGCTTGCGCTTATGGGTCTTTAGCAGTGGGAGGAAGCCGGGGACCCGGAGAATACCCACGAGGTTGGACATGCGATCCTACTCATTATCACGTACAACCGGGGCGTCGACACCACGCTAGTTTACTCAATGACAGACCTTATGATACAACTACAACGCGCACGGGCTAACCATTACAGAAGTGATACACAAATGACGGCTGCGTTAAATACTGATCCTTCCATTACATCTAGATGTATGCTTTTTCTCACTATGTCTACACATTCCTGTAATGTGATTGCTAATTGACTAGATTACTTACCCGAAAGACTTGAAATCTGATACACTACATAATGATAACCAGTGTTAGGACTGTATGGAGACCTGATGACACATGAAAATTCATGAGAACAGTTTCTGTAAACTGATAACCTATCTTCTTTACTAAACGGTACTTCACTCGATGCAGGCCCATATGCATCCCAAACACAGCATGTGTTATTACAATCACAACTTTCTTTTGTGACGGTTGATGATTTGTGTCCGTAATAAAGTCTTTCTATTGTAATAAGTTGTGAACCGAAAGAATTAGTTAGAAAATGCGATGAGCAAATGGAATCAGGTGGACTGTAGCAGGCAGTAATTCCTCCATAAGATATCACCATCACTACTATAAATAATAATAAAAAACTATAGGCAATGTATAGATGAGTCCCAGCAAATATATATCAAAATTATAATAAGTGAACAAAGCAGTGGGCGCCTTTTACTTGGTTAACTGTTGCAATTCATAAGCTGATACAACATAGGCGTACGAGCCAGGGGGGCAGTAAAATAGCAGTAAAACGCGTTTGCGGCCGTCAAATATTCCAAAAAATTTCTTTGGGGGGGGGGGGGTCCTTACAGGGTCAGCGCCGTTTCTTCGCCTCTCGAAGAAAACCGGCGCCGCTGTCTGTAAATCTGACATTTTTTGGGGCATTTCTAGTGTTGCTTCCCTGTCACCGAGCCCTAATAAAGCACTAATTTTATAATTGAATACCACAAATTTGTACTGAGTTGACTATGGATTAAAACATTTTGTCTGGAGCCACTCTACTTTGTGCGACATTTTTCGGGCATCGATTATTATTTGTGAATGCAGCTGCAACAGTCGATTGAATGGTTGGAATTCAAAATGGGATTTAGGTTACAAAACCATTGGATACTGTTGGAGTTGCTTACACGGGCTAGAATAGCAGAAAACGCATATGCGGTGGTTAAATTTTCAAAATTGTCTCCGGGAGGGTGAGCCCTCCATACTCCGCGACGATTGATTGGTTGTTTGGAATTCGGGTCAGCTAGGTGGGCTATATTGGACCAAATTGAAGTTGCTGTATTCACGGGCTGGAATAGCAGGAAAACGCGTTTGCGGCAGTTAAATTTTCAAAATTTTCTGCTAACGGTCCCGTCTTCGTGGACTGTAAACGATTGATCTTTTGATTGGAATTCGAGTCAGCCATCTTAATTAGGCTATAATAGACCACTTTGTTCAAGGACTGAAATAGCAGGAAAACGTGTTTGCAGCCGTCAAATATTTCAAAATTTTCTTGGGGGGGGGGGGGGGGGGGGTCCATGCAAGGTAAGCTCTGCTTCTTCGCCTCTCGAGGATGACCAACGCCGCTGTCTGTAAACCCGAAATTTTTTCGGGCATTTCGGGTTCTGCCCCACTAACTGTCATCAAGCCCGTACGCCTATGCTGATACATAAATAAACGTGATAAATAATACAATAAGATTTCGCCATGGCCCTGTTTAACATACATAGAGAATCTCCTACCAGTCTTTTTTGATATCAAAAAAGACGAGTAGGAGATTTTATTTATCACCCAAACCCTTCTTACATGCACAAATAGATAAATATAATTCTTTGCTATAGATTTCACTTTACTGAACATTACGGCGTAGTGATACATCATTTAATTTGACAGCAATTCAACCATTGCAAAGTCCTTTATATTGGCCCAGTGTTTCCATCAAGGTCAATTGAATAACAATAGTTCATTTTTTTTTTTAAAAAAGTTACTTTGTATAAGAAATGAACTGTTATTTGAAAATAAAAAAAAGTAGTTCCTTTTCAACTGACCAATCAAATACATGTAAAGCGATATCCTAAGGAGATATCGCAGTAGATTATGAAATATATCACAGAAGCGATATCTACTGTAGAATGTATTATTGGGTGATAAAATATGTTATACTGTGCCTCTGACAGATTTGCCTTCAATTAGACTGTTATAAGTGAAATAGCGACAATTGATCTAATATTGCTATTGATTTCCGAATGGAATTTCCTTTCGTTTCTTTGGATAAAACTGTGTGCTTAAGCTATTTACGTATATATTTCTGAGTTTATTACTTTTATAGAAGCTAAATTATCCTATTTGAAGTTTTTTACAAGATGTGGCAAAGACTGTTTATTATCGTAACAACGGTACTTTTTATTCGAGACTTACCATCGCTTCGCCACTTTTAAATTACATCATAGATGTTGAATTGTGTTTTAATCCGTTTAAATCTCTGACATCGAAAGGTCTGTAGAGCTGATTGTGGACTTGTCATGTGAATAAATGGCTAAATAAAGACCTTCAATGGGTAGATTTAGCTCTTACATAATGCATCTTTTAAAAAACTTGAAATTAGTGTGAAAATATGGTTTCATTTTAACCGAGATGGGTTATAGGTGCTTAAAAGAGAAAAGTTTATAGAGTGTTCCAATTTCAATACCGGTACTATTTTAAAACCATATGAAATCTATGTCAGCCGATAAGTAGATTTATGCTCCTTCTTCTTGCCTGCGCTTCGCTATAAGTCTATCACCAAAAGGCGAAACCAAGAAGTGATTTTACTTCTTCTTCCGGTCTGTATCTGTCATGCATATTCCTTTACTCAAGCTTCCATTTTCGGTTTCTCTAGAACTGTACATTACATCGATCCGTCGCGTCTTCACCTTCCGGTAGAGACCCATTGCAAGAAACCTAATTCCGTCGCGGCTTCGCTTCGCTATGAGTACACAGCGCGAAGGCAAGAAGGCAGCAAATGAACAAGGCAAAGCTATGAAGTGCGTCGACTTCTTGGCTCGAACGGATTATTTCTTGGCATCTTGCCTTCACGATAAACCTCGTGGCGAAGGGCCAATTGTCACACTTTGGGTTCGCCTTCGCACTAAATGAAATGAAATGAAATGGGGTTTAACGTCCTACTCTTCTGCACCTAACCTGGGCTAATTGAAGACGGGCATACGCCATACAGTGTGCTATGAGGGAAATCTTGCCCGGGCAGCGGCGCTACGGCCTACTCTTATATCGAATTCCAACTGCCAAGGGATCTTTTACGTGCACGCCAATGTGTACACGGGACCTCGGTTTTTCGTCCCATCCGAACGACTAGGCAGCTGTCCTTGTCAGGCCCTCCGTTCTGCATCACTGACAAGGGGAAACCACGCCGGAAAATCGAGATGAACTTTCTCGACCAATGCAGGGATCGAACACCCGACCTCCAGGCTAGCGAGCCAGCGCCTTACCCACTTAGCCACGTGATCCCCCGCCTTCGCACTAAGTTAACACGACGGCAAGATGGCGTGAAATGGTTCTTATCGGCTTCTATAAGTAAATCGGTAAAATGGATAATTTTGTTTTGTAAGCAGACAACGTAGATGTTGCCCTATGCGCCATTTTTTTTTTACCGTAACCCATTGCAAAGTTGCCCTTGCAACTTCTTTTTTGTAAAAGAAAGCTTATTACGACGGTAGAGGTCACAATTTTTATCCAATTTAAAAACAAATGTTTAAATATATCGAATTTCGGACCGAAACTCCCCGATAAAATCGCCGCTCCGCGTCACAGTCTATTTCCCAAATTACTTACGCATATCGGACCATAAATCCCTGGATTATGGCCCCTGATCTGTACCAAAAATTGTTTGGTATTATTTTTAGCTTGTTCCCTGTCCATCTCTTGCAAAATGTGGGCGTATCTGTACCTAATAGTTTTGGGTCAAATGTAACAAACTGCTCCATAGCTTGTATCATATTAAAAAAGACTATATTTTATACATATAAAATATTCCTTTAGATGCACCGAACCCATTCAACCCCGCATGTTATTGATCTGCAACATAAATTACTGTCCACTACATATACAGTATACACTTATTTAATCACAATATAATAAATTCCAAATGTAGTGACAATGCTGTTTATTAAATAGAATTCGTACAGTCGGGTAAACGAAAGTATAGATCCTGTAACTGAAGAGGCTTGGTTAGGGACAGACGTGGTAAGGGAGAGAGACTTGGTTAGGAGAGCGGAGGCGAGCTAATGGACTCGCCCGAGTTCAGCCGCTGCCTTGGCAGAGGGGTGGAATGGTTGACTTAATAAAGTGGTGTTATAGTTTATGTTCCTGACGTATTTAAATTGCTGTTTGATTTATGTTCCTGTGTATTTATGTTCCTGTTCCCGATGTAAATAAATCCTATATTTAGGAAACCGGTCTTCTATTATCACTCATAGTGTTACACAAATTTGACCCATATTTTTGGGACGATTCGACCCAATCCTTTTTAACTGTGCCGAAGCAACAATCTAGACGTATCTTACATTATGACATTTGTGCGTCTTATTTATCTCAAATGTTTACGATATTGGGAAAGAGCAGTGCCGTGTACAGGAATTTGAGCAAAAGGGGTCCAAGGTGAAGACAACGCGGAACTACCCACGGAATTTGATAAATCAAGAGTAGCTGTTCATTACAGTTCCAAGAAGACTCGACTGGTGGGTGATGATTGACGACAGTTGCTAGTTACGAGTACGGTTTTCGAGGCATGTATAAATATTAGAAACAGAAATTATATACCCTGATGTAACATCAACAGAACAGTACCAGTTTCGATCCGCAGCAACATGCTCGCCATTATCTAAAATAAATATAGAAAATCATTTGTTATTTTTCCTTACAGAAGGTTGATAAACGGTTTCAAAAAAATCTTGAATATTCTGTGGAAAAAACAGATTTAGGCGACATACTATTACAAAACAATTAAACCCTTATATTCCCTGTTATACTAACAACGACAGGGAATTGGAAAAGTGTCGCTACTTCTTTAACCTGCCGGTATTGTGTATGGTTAGCTACAGTTCGGGGATGACGGTGACTAAGTGGGCAAGACGCTGGCTCGCTAGCCTGGAAGTCGGGTGTCCGATCCCTGTATTGGCCGAGGAAGCCAATCCAGATTTTTCGGCGTGGTTCCCCCTTGTCAGTGATGCAGGACGGACAAGGACAGTTGTCTAGTCGTTCGGATGGGACGATAAACCGAGATCCGTGTACACATTGGCGTACACGTAAAAGATCCCTTGACAGTTGGAATTCGATATAAGAGTAGGCCGTAGTGCCGCTGTCCGGGCACAATTTCTCTCATAGCACACTGTATGGTGTATATGGTGTATGCCCGATTTACTAGCCCAGTTCGGAGCAGACAGTAGGACGTTAAACCCCATTTCATTTCATTTCATTTATAGTAACTTGGTACGTGTCTTGTGCCAGTATTTCATTTTCAGTAAAAGTGGAAATAAGACCCAGCATGTTTTAACACGAAAACATACTAACACTGTTAAAGGGCAACTAACTGTTCGTTACAAAGAGCTGCGCGTGTTATTCGATTCAACGACTTTCTTATGTCGTGTGCCCACAGCTCCGGGATAGAGCTATAATACAATTTTGTGTTGGTTTTGTTCATAAACAGTGACTGCATATCCGGCGTCCAAATTTTCTCTGACGATGCGCATTTTTAAAACCATTTTAATGTTAGTTAAAATGTATACCCGGGACATAATTCTGTGGGATACAATTGCTATCTAAATTGATGTCTAGTGAGTCTTCGGCTTTCCTCACAACTTTAATCAAATTAAGCAAAGTTGGAGTGTAAAGTACACTAAATCTAGAGTGTAAAAATTCTTTTAGAGTGACACATTCACGGAATGAAATAAAGCTGTTAATGATTGTTTTATTTATTTTACCCTCAGTTACTAAATGGCATGGAGACAGAAATAGTAACAAATTCTCCTTTAATAACATAACATACATTAACATAACAACTACATGGTCTATAAGTATTTTTAATGGGATTAATTTTGAAGGAGTCGAAACACTGCACATCGATAGGTTTCGTCCTCTCTTGACCCCAATGCTTCCCACCAGATTTGAAAATAAACCCATTACAAAGTTTAGCCTCCATCGCGTTGATAAGGTTTACGGGGGAGGGGAGGTAAATCACGGAACCCTGAATGAAACAAATCCGTTATAGACTGTGGCCTTTATCTTGTTTTAACAAGGTTTGTGGATAACAATCCAATTGTTGACTGGCCCTTACGGAAACTAGATACCGCATGTTCCTGGGTCGTTTATATCAACATAATGGTCCCGACCAGGTGCGCAATCACCAAATGAGCACGCAGTGGCGACACCAAACGACTTCATAATGATGGTTGCTAGGTAGAATGTAAAAATTCTAAATTCGTTGATGTTGATGCTAAACGTGTAAAGCATCAATGAAGAAGACGTGTTTCGCCTAAATAATAGAAATAAGATGAAATAGAATTAAAATTTACACTAGATAAATAAAGAAGTTGGATTATACATTGTCTTAATTTGAAAATTACATGAATAGAAGTTAGAAATTACATGAATAGAAGTTAAAAAAATACATGAACAGAAGTTAGAAGTTAGACGAAAGCATTTTAGAATTTTGAATCTAATATACCGCCATGTATACAGAAATGGGTCGCAAAGTGCGATGCGAACCCGATTATTTTGTTCCCTGTAGTAAGTGTATACATTGCGCAATTCATTTAATTGTCCCTGGATGAATGAATGTAGCCACCGTAACGACGACATGAACAAATTTTACATTAGAGAAGTATTCAAAAGTGACAACAAAGTTCTGGTGTTATAAAAATAACAGCTGTGTAGATAAATGTTGGTCTATACCGATGAAAGACGTCTGACTTCTTTGAATAAAGCTAGTTATTTATTTGCATAAAGCTCTTAGATTGCTTTATAGCTTTATGAAAAGCTGTCACTAATATATGTTAGCTACGTTAACTCCATAAAAGAGAAGCTGTCCTACTGGACCCGGACAAATGTCTCGGGTATGTAATATACATGTATGTTCAAAGAAGCAGTGGTTGAGCACAAATTTTGAGATTTTCTTTGTCGTCGTTTTGCAGAAAATATTATACTATTCAAAAAAAGTAGGGGATATTTGATTTTGGGGGCATAATACTAAAATATGCAAATGACTACGAAAAAAGTCACTATAGAACCTAACAGAAGAAACATTTCCAGTTACATGTGACGCCCAAACGCACCAATAGCTACCGCATGGAATGCAGGTGATGCTTGGGATCATCATGGGGGTCCAACCCAAGATTTGCACGACTCTGACTTTGAATGTTACAGTCATTATGGCATTGAATTCCAGGGTGGAAACATCAGTTTAATTGTTTTAGTGACCAGAAAACAAATTTTGATATGCGTCGGCTTACCCAAAATGAAAGGTTACGTGCCCTTGGCATGCTACATATCGGCCCAACACAGGCGGGTGTGGCGCGGACGATGAATGTTTCTCAGTCTGTCATAAGCAGGCTATGGTCCAGATACCGTGATACACAATCTGTACAGGACAGGCCACGCTCAGGTCGACCAAGGGCGACAACTCAAGCCCAGGATCGATTTATCCGTACCTTGGCCTTGAGAAATCGTGTCATCACAGCAAATCAGATCAGCGCTCGTCTTCAAACAGACACTGGTGTGAGAGTGAGTGGCCAGACGATTCGGAATCGACTGCACAGGGGTCACCTTCGCGCCCGACGTCCTCGCTTGTTTGAGAGATCATCACATTCAGGCAAGACGTCGTTGGTGTAGGGATCGTCAACACTGGGATAATCGACGCTGGAGCAATGTGATGTTTTCAGATGAGTCAAGGTTCACTGTTGATTTTTTGGACAGACGTAGGAGGGTGTGGCGTCGTCGAAACGAGCGCTTCCAAGACGTTAACATCATCAGACATGATCGATTTGGGGGTGGTTCTGTTATGGTGTGGGGAGGCATCACTGTTGCTGGAAGAACGGCTTTACATGTTGTTGCAGGGCGTGTTACAGGCCAGTACTACCGGGACAACATCTTGGCAGTCCATGTTGTGCCGTTCGCACGACGTCATGGCCGCCGTTTCATCTTCCAGGATGACAACGCAAGATGTCACAGGGCCAGGATCGTTACAGGTTACCTCCAACAACAGAACATCACCACATTACCTTGGCCAGCACTGAGTCCCGACCTCTCCCCCATCGAGCATGTCTGGGACATGCTTGGACAGAGGTTACGTCAACGTCAACAACGTCCTGCCAATGTCCAAGAACTTGCTGCTGCGTTGCAACAGGAATGGGACAATCTGGACCAAAATGACCTTAGACGTCTCATTAGGAGTATGCCACGTCGGATCAATGCTTGTTTGGCAAACAGAGGAGGATTTACCCGTTACTGACTTGGTTGTGATGCTGTGGTAACTTTGCTGTTTGACCCCGGGTATCATTTTACCCTTATAATGGTCAGTCTGTGCCTTACTTAGTCTAACGATCATTTGGAATAAATCGATGAATGTGAACTTCATTTCATTTTGTCATTTGTTTCTTCGTCAGTTTCATTAGGTGACTTTAATAACACTTAAAAATCAAATATCCCCTACTTTTTTTGAATAGTATAGTACTATTCGGTTTAAAAAATAAATTTGTAGACTTATCAAACACTTTTAAATCCCACGCAAATTTTACGATAGACTATGTATTATATTATAAAACATAATTCACACAAGAGACAGAGAGAAATGGTGTTTAACGTCCACTCGACACAAACTAGGTCATATTGGGACTAACATACGGTTCAGTTTTATTTCAATAATTCCTTGCCCATAGGGATCTTTAGCAATGGAAGGACCCGGGGAAACCCCACGGGATTGGAAGGCGATCTTTCTACTTGTCAAGCTCAAGCGGGGAAATGAAACCACGCCACATGACTCAATGACAGCCCATATGATTCAACGCGTACGCGTTCACCATTCGAACACCCCGAGTAATTTGTGTCTGGCAAAATCTGACAGGTGCCTTTTGTCCAGGCTTGCTCTCAACACTAAAACCCGGAAGCTGCCGTGCCCATGGAGCACGCCCCGGGGAAATATACAATAACTTTTAAAATATATAACAATATCTTGACTGAAAGTAAATTATAATTACCAGATAAGTAATATATCCCACTATAAATCGATATACTCAATCAGCTAAATTCCAATTACAGAGCGGCAATCTTTCACAAGTATTCATAAAACACCACGTAATGGGTGTGTTATTTGACAAGGTATAATAGGCCTATAAACTCATCTTGATTCAAGGAAGTAATATGTCTATATTAAATTCATGCGTTACGGGTATTTACACGCAGGTCGTATTCTTATGCTCAACAACAAAACAATGTATATATATATATCATCTTTAAAAGATATTTATGTAAAATAAATTCAATCGTGGAGAGTTTATAAAGGTGTCATAGCATGTCTGGTAGACTCGAATTATGAAATCATTAAACCCGATTATCAGGTGTCATTATGTATCTGGTGTTACATAATATACTCTTCAAAAAAAGTAGGGGATATTGAAATGCAAATACCTATGCAGGTTGTGATATGATAAATGGACACTTGACATGCTTTGAGAGTATTTTCACAGATGAAGAAGTTATCGCCCCAACAGAACCACTGAGCTGCACGTGCGACACGCAATAGCGCCGTGCACGTGGGGGGGGGGTCGTTGTCTAATGTGACACTTCAAGGAAGGGTTGATGAAAACTGCCGCGTGCTGGTTTATCCTATCCATGTTTGCTTTCCTATCGGTTCTTGCATAAGATTTACTGTTTAGCGTATCTTTGCTTTAGTGTGTTACTTTTAATTTGCAATGAGACGTCTTCAACATGATGAACTTCTACGTGCTATTGATTCACATGGGTTTTACACGTCGAGAGGGGGGTTGGATGGCTGAATGGTTAGCGTGCGCGCGCTGTATCATAAAGTCTGTCATTGAGTCGACTGGCGTGGTTTCGAATCCCCGGTTGTACATGGCAAGGAGTAGGGTCGCCTGTCTAACCTCTTGGGTTTTTTCCGGGTCCTCCGGTTTCCTCCCACTGCTAAAGACCCCTACGCGCAAGCGAATTATGTAAATAAAATTAAACCATATGTTAGTCCCGAAATGACCTAGTTTATGTCGAGTGGACGTTAAACCCCATTTCTCTCTCTCTCTCTCTCTACACGTCAAGCAGTAGCCCACATGCTTAATGTGTCACAGTCTGATTAGCAGACTGTGGAACCGGTACCAATAAACGCACAATGTTGATGATAGACCTCGTTCAGGTCGTCTTAGAGCCACTACACAAGCCCAGGATCGATACATTCGTACACAGGTGCTGCGAAATCGAGGACAAACGGCCAATCAGCTTTCTGTAAACTTGTACCAAGTTACAGGAATTCGAGTTACACCCCAAACTCAGCAGCACATGGCAAACAGGTGTCAATGGTGTAGGTAGCGTAGAAATTGGGGTAATCGTCGATGGGCGCGTGTAATGTTCTCAGATTTCACCGATAGGCGTGCTCGCGTTTGGAGGCGTGTAAATGAGCGTCATGCTAACGTTAACGTCAGTCAATATGACAGATTCGGGCGTGGGTCTGTTATGTTGTGGGGAGGAAGTACCATGACTGGCAGAACAGACTTGCATATTGTTCAAGGAAGGGTCACTGGTGTGTACTAACGTGACCACATCCTGGCACCTATAGTTCTGCCCTTTGCTCAAACTGCAGGTCGACGTTTCATCTTTCAAGATGATAACGCTCGTGTCGTGAATGACTTTTGACAGTGTATCTCTTTGCGAGTGAAATGGGGCCGTCAGATAAGCCGCCCATATGAACTGTTTATGTTCATGTGTAGGCAATTGGCCTGTTATTAACATACACTGGTTACCTCTAATAAAAACAGCAGTGCATTTCCGCAGTTTTGTATTGTGTCTGAATATCCCCTACTTTTTTTGAAGAGTACTATGCGAGAAGTAGAGTATTTTTACTTACAGTATCACAGATCACTATTATGTATGTCATTCTCTTTCTATTTATTAGAGGGAGAGAGAAATGGGGTTTAACGTCCACTCGACACAAAGCAGGTCATTTCGGTACTAACATATGGTTCAATATATTTCAATAAACCCACGAGGTTGGACAGGCGACCCAACTCCTTGTCAAGTACAACCGGGGAATCGAAACCACGCCAGCTGACTCAATGACAGACCTTATGATACAATGCGCACGCACTTATCATTCGGCCATCCAACCTTCCGCATCTTTATTAGACGTGGATATGTTTTTTAAATCCTATGTCATGAAATGACAGATGATATAGTTAGTTTTAATTGCGTTCTTATTGCTCTATTCTACTGTAATATCTTATGTTTAAACTTTAATTCTAATCTTTGGTTATTTTTAGTAAAGCTGCTAAATGTTATTCCCTTGATCCATTACCCATATGTACATCATCCAGCTGACCTCCTAGAAAGATGACACCCTTCAGCGGATAATATAAATTCTTTATCAAAGAAGAACATTATACCCTTACATCCAAAAAATTAAACGAATTAAGCACATAATTTGTGGCAAATTCTGAGATCAACATAACACAATAATTTTGTCTCAAGCCACTCTACTCTGTGCGATATTTTTCGGGCATCGATCATTATTTGTTTCATCAATTTTTCGAAAATAGTCATTTTTTTAAATTGACTAATGGATTAAACATAATGATAGAATTTCGATTGCAAAACCACACAAATAATGTTACACGCAACACTAACGAAAGGTTACGTCACGAGCGGTTTACATGCAGGTGTACACACTGATCCGCAGTGAATACTCACTAGGCCGCTACGGTCAATGATAAGGATGACATTGATGCGACTTAATGAGCCACAAATATTAACGTTTTTCCTCCGACAAATTAAATTCGAATCATTAACGTCTTACGTAAACAAAGCACGCGCCATTGAGCCAATGATTGACTCCGCGTGATATGACGTCATGTGATGAAGGCAGTCATCTTCGCAATATGCTGTGAAACAGATTGGCAGGTGAAGAGTAAGGGTGACCTCTAACATTCACCTACTCAAAAAGGAAGAACAATACAAACATCTTACCAAACTGACTTCCAAATTTATTAAGTATGTAGACAATTCTCCCATGAACAATCGATTTATACTATATATAAATACTTTAGTGTTACACGCAATACTAACAAAAGATTACGACACGAGCGGTTTACATGTTGGCGTAGAGTAACGGTGACATCTTACATTCACCTACTCAAAAAGGAAGAACAATAAAATATCTTACCAAACTCTCTTCTAAATTTATTAAAGGACAATATTGATGTCAGTCATTATCACATAATTATGTGATAGAACTCTTTAAACACGTTCCAAATATAATTTTAACACAGGGATCATTGCTACGATAGATGCGTAATGAAGGTTTCAACAATCGGAAGTGACGAACGGAAAAAGAAAAGACGAGTTATCGTTCTCTATAACTGACTGAAGTGACAAGTGATAACAGACACGGGCGAATTTCTGCTCACTAATGATTCCTTCGAAGACCAAAAGTTGCTATGTGAATCTGTAAGAGGATATATGACAATTAAAAAAAATGACTGTCACTATATAAGAAAACACGAGAACAATAGAAATACATTCCCTTGTTTTTATTCATTCTATACTTCATAAAGAAACATGGTAATGCACGGACTTTTGCTACTAAATATCAATTAATAAAACAAACAAGCTCACGTCTCACATAAAACTAACTAAAAATAGTTAAAACATATCAAATTAAAGATTTTGTATCATAAATGATATCAATATGAACTTATTCAAATAAGTAATAAGTAAAAATCGACTATAATCATAAAATAGAGTTAACTCCCTTGACTAACCTACTTGACATTAAAATTCATTCCCACTTTCAAAAACTACTAAATTATTTCAGGCACATACAAAATATGATCAAGTCAGTGTAATGTAAGTAAAATGGAATGTTTTTCCTCCAGATAAATATCATTGCCTATGACATACAACGTCGTGCCTTTGTATGCAAAGCATTCAAAGTAAGTGTAAGGAGACGAGGGGTAAAAGCGGTTGATACAGATTTAGGAATATTAAACATGTGGCGAAATGCAAATTTGTCACAGTAAGGCTGTGTTGCACCACTTTCAAGGTGCTATATTCAAGGGCTAGAAAAGGAACGCTGAACTCCAACTACGTACAGCTGAAGTACGTACTTAATGAAGGATGGCCTAATACACTTTCTGACGGTATAATTTATATATATTGTGACCCACAATGCTGAAACATATTCACGCAACTCATATGGGAATAACAAAATATAAATAAAGAGAGCGCGAATGTCTCAACAAATTGACGACTTGGTAAATGTCATTTGTGTAATACTTACCAAAATAACAAGCTTCTGAACCAATGCAATGAAAGCTACACCAACTCTGGATTCACACATATTTGAGTTTCAAGAAACCTCCTACCTGATAGCTTCTACTACTCCCAATACTTTAAAGTTGATGAACTTTATATAAGAGACAAATGTCCATATCATTGAAGTATTCAAACAACAAACTTGTTGACATTGAATACCAGAAATTTTGAGATCAGATAATGGTCCTCACTTCTCATCACAAGATTTCACCAATTTCGTCAATGACTATGGAATGAAACCCCATCACCAACATATCCTCAATCAAACGGCGAAGCAGAGAAAGGCGTGCAAATAGTGAAAAGACTTCGATCATAAAGCTTTACTAGATTATAGATCAACTCTTCAAGAAAGTTGTGGATTCTCACCTGCATATCTGTCTATGAATCGGCGTCAACGTAATAAACTTCCAATGTCTAGAGAATTACTGAAACCTGTATCAATTGATATCGTCTAATATTGATAAGAAGAGACAATGTGAATATTACGATCTAAAACATCAAAAGACTTGCCTGTATTAGTACCTGTCAGAATATCACCTCTTCCTGGTTCTGAAAATTGGACACCTGCAACAGTACGTTTGCCCATCACACCTCGCCAAGACCATACGTTGTTAAATGTAACTGGAATAAGTATAGAAGGAAAAGAAGGCACATGACAGTTCCGCCGACACAAGGAGGATAGATTCCGCAGAAAACTCAGATGTACAGAGTTAAAGCGAGATTAAGGCTTGTATTGAAGAAGGTAATCAACGTACTATCTTACCTAAAACACCAGATAGACTACATATATATACATTTA